TCAAAATCACCGTCGAAATCACCACACCGAATGTCTACCTACTGCTGGTACCATCAGCGATTTGGCCCGCAGTCCAAGTCGTGCAGCCTACCCTGTTCCTTTAAACGTAACTCGCAGGGAAAACGGGCCGACCAGCACGTAGGGGCGACGGAAGTAGCTGGTCAACACAGTCGCCTATTCTTCGTTACCGATCTACAAACGGGAGTTCGCTATCTCGTCGACACTGGCGCAGAAGTCAGCGTCCTTCCACGTGATCTCAACGACAAGCAGAAAGGTGACTGGTTCTCTACGCGCAGCCAACGGCACCAGCATCCGCGTCTACGGTCAGCGCTCACGCACGCTTAACCTCGGCCTGCGACGCTCTTTTCGATGAGTATTCCTTGTCGCTGACGTCCAAAATCCCATTATCGGGATGGATTTGCTTCAGCACTTCGGTTTGCTCGTCGAGGCTAAACGACTTTGTCTCATCGATCAGACAACGAAACTTTCCGTTGCTGGAATATCCAGCGATGTAGCATCGCTAAGTCCGGCGCACGCCACTGACAATTCACTGGCAGGCAAAGCGCTACTTGAGAGTTTCCCTGAAGTCTTCCAACCGTTATCGTCTCTGTCAACTGCAGTCGCAGCTACGCCGCGTCACACAGTTACCAAGGGTCCGCCCGTCTCCGCCAAAGCCAGAAGACTGATTCCGGACAAGCTCAAAACCGACCGTGCGGAATTCGAGCACATGCTCGAACTTGGCGACGTCCGACTATCCAGCAGCCCTTGGTCTTCGCCCCTTCACATGGTCCCGAAAAAGTCAGGAGACTGGCGACAATGTGGCGATTACCGCGCCCTCAACAACATGACAATTCCGGATCGTTATCCTATTCCTCACATACAGGACATTACGGCCGGTCTTCATGGCGCTCGCGTGTTCTCAAAGATCGATCTGGTGCGAGCTTATCATCAGATCCCGGTCGCCGGCGAGGGCATATCGAAAACCGCCGTTATTATCCCATTTGGATTATTCGAGTTTCTACGAATGCCATTCGGTCTGCGCAACGCCGCGCAGACATTACAACGCTTCGTCGACTCCGTCGTAAGTGGACTCGACTTCGTCCACCCGTACATCGACGACATCCTGGTGGCCAGTTTTTCGGAAGAGGAACACCGAACACATCTACGATTCTTGTTCGAACAGCTGAAGGCGCACGTCACCGTCAACCCCCGCAAGTGCATTTTCATGCAGCCGCGCAATGACTTCCTCGGACATCAACTTGATTTCGAGGGTATCCGCCCTTAGCAGGACAGAATCCAGGCAATTCGCGACATTACTCATCCGACTCTAGCCGCCATTCGACGCTTCAACGGCATGGTCAACTAGTATCACCGATTCCTGCCACGCTGCGCCGAGGCTATGCGACCGCTCACCGATCATCTGCGTGAACGCAACAACAGCAAAATTGATCTTAGGCCTTAAGCACGAAAAGCATTCGAAGCTAACAAAGAAGCACTCGCTTCCGCCGTCATGCTTCATCACTTCGACTCGAACGCTTCAATCAGTGAAGCCGTTGACGCCTCGGAAAACGCAATCGGCGCTGTTCTACAGTAGTTTTCCCAAGGTAATTGGCCACCACTAGCGTTCTTCTCCCGACGTCTTCTGACAGACGAGTCGAAACACAGCACATTTGGCCGCGAGTTACTCGCTGTATACTCCGCCGTTCGCCATGTTCGCGATCTTTACATATCACAAACCACTCGTCTATGCCTTCCGGAACCCTTCGCCCCGACACTCCGCGTGAAGTTCGTCATCTAGATTTTGTGCCTCAGTTTTCGACGGACGTCCAACATGTGTCTGGCAAGGATAACGTCGTGGCAGACACGCTTTCAAGAGTAAACTGTCTGGCTCCGACCGATCAGTCGCTCGATCTGTCAGCTATAGCCGCTGTTCAGCAAGTCAAAAAAGGTTTAATGTCATGCTGCGAAGAGTCCGCATTAAAGTTGGTACCTAGACCGCTTCCTTCATCTAAAAGTACAATAATCTGTGACGTCTCTGCCGGACATCCACGTCCACTGGTACCAACTGCCTTTCGCCGAAAAGCCTTCGTTACGGTACACAACAACGCGCATACTGGCATTCGCGCTTCAGTCAAGATGATTGTCGAGAGATACGTCAGGCCCAACATGCAGCGCGACGTCAGACTTTGGGCACGCAACTGTCTGACTTGCCAGCGAGCAAAAGTTCATCGACATGTTGCCGCTCCCATAGGACGCTTCCCGTCACGACCAACTCGATTCGCTCACGTCCACCTTGACATCGTTGGACCTCCTCTGCCGTCCAAAGGTATGGTCTACATCCTGACCACGGTGGATCGCGCCACTCGTTGGTCTGAAGCTGTTTCAATTCCCGATGTATCAGCTGAGACCATAACGCGCACATTCGTCCAGTGCTGTGTCGCTTCACATGACTGTCTAGCCACTATGACTACCGAGTGTGGCCCACAATTCGAATCGTCGACTTTCAACAACCTACTCGAAGACCTCGAATGTAAACGCATCCGGACAACTGCCTACCATCCTCAAGCAAACAGAATGGTGGAGCGTTTCCACCGACAGCCTAAAGCCTCGTTAAGTGCCGCCAATGCACTTAGTTGGACAGAAGTGCTGCCCATGGTACTACTCGGAATTCGATAGGCACTGAAAGCTGATCTCGAAACGTCCAACGCCGAACCGGTCTATAGACAAGCACTCCGATTACCAGGCGACTTCTCTGAAAGCCCGAGCACTATTCTCTACGACGCGTACTACGCTCGGCAGCTAGCCGCGAGCGTGCGCCGTAATAAATCGACCGCAGTACGGGAACAGCATCGCAAGCCTTACGTTCCCAAAGATCTTCACCACTGCCCGTTTGTCTTCATACGCACTGATGGTCTACGCAGGCCACTCCAACGACCGTACGAAGGTCCATTCAAAATCCTACAACGTAAGCATCGCTTCTTCGTCATCGAACGCAACGGCAAGCGCGAAACCGTCTCAACCGACTGCCACAAAGTTGCTTACGTCGAACCAGAGTCGAACGAAGACTCTAGTTTTTCGTCCTCCGATGAATCGACCCAAGCAATGGTGGAGGAAAGGCCTGCAGACAGCAACACCACAATTGGAAACCCGTCTCCTGAACCCTCCGACTCCGACACGCCTAAAACGGTTACTAGGTCTGGTCGTCGGGTTCACTGGCCGACACGTTTCTTAGAACGTTAGTTTAGCATGTTTGCTTTTAACAGCGTTTTCAGGTTTTCTTCCGCATCAGTACCCTCCAAAAACCACAACAAAAACGCAAATGTTCTAAGAACCAAAAAAGATCGCAAAGGTTTGGAAAACCAGAAAAACGAAGAAAACGTTTTGAAAACCGATAGAAAGAGTTGTTGCCTTGATGTTACGCTGCCTATTCGGTAAGTGTTTTTCCCGTCCGTTGCTGTCGCTTCTTCTGCATGCCTGACTTCCCTCGTTTCTTTCTTTTCATGTAGCGAACCGGAGAACACTCATTTGTGGTCAAACACAAGTGATCGTATGATAGGAATGTTCTCCCTCTTTTTCTTTTTTTGGCACCTTAAGGGAGGACATGGGTGGGAGTCCGCTAGGGTCCGATCACCCGGTTCTCCCCAGCAGCTGCATCAGGTTTTACCGCCTGGTCTCGCAGAAGGCTGGCCCGCGACGAACAGTCCTCACGTAGTTCGAAGGGTCACTAACGGTTCCCTTCTAGGAGGGGGGCTATGTAGTGCCCTGGAGATTGTCCTGTTTGCGTAAAATATTACTAAAATATAATATCAACTTAGGAAGCTTGCCTGTTAGCACGATGACTACGTGTGTTTGAGTCATCCAGACGAAACGCATTCGCGTGCTTCTGGCTTTTCCGCCTCAAAGAGCGTTTGCTGCGTCTCGGCTGGCGACCATACCTTTCACATAGCTAGAACTTTTTGCGGTGTCCTTAGCGAGCAGGATGATGCGTTTCGACAATAAACGTCTATCTCGCCCAAATATCTGTCTTTTACGACTTTTCCTTGAGGCGGGACGAACCTGACATATAGCGATCGAGCGATTCTGCTATGGTTCTCTAGAATCTCGCCAAAAATATTTAGAACCTAGTTCATTGTACATGTTCGGCCAATCCTGAATTATGGCCTTCCAGCTGTCTATCTCTTCTCAAAACATGATTGTGCCTTGTTAGAGAAGGTTCAGAAGCATGGCAAGAAATCAGTCTCGGAGTTTCACGATCTCAGTTACCCTCATAGACTTAAGAACATTGACTTTTTACTCCTGGAATATCGCCGCCGTCGAGGGGATCTCATCAAAACCAGACGGATCTTAAGGGGGAAAATTGGGACGGACCTACAAGGACTCTCGACTTAAAGTGGATACCGCGATACGAGGTCATAAGTGGAAGCTTTACTAACGAAAATACTTTCCGTCCAGTCCGATGTTACCCTATCTACTCGGATGAACGACTGGAACAGCATACCATAGAATGTAGTTGATAAACAGACTCAGGAAGGTTTTCAGCTTCTGCTAGATTGCCACCTGATGAATACCGCAGGTTCTTGCTGTCCTTATTGCAATGGCTAGGATCCCCAGAGGCGCGTCGACTAGCAAACACAAGCATTAACCTCGCAATGAAAAAACCGAGCTGGCAAGGGTCTTTCCTTTTGCTCTCTACACACTAATGAGTCCCGAAAACTCTCCCCTCAAGATAGATCGAAGGCAAAACCTCACAAAGAACGGAAACACGACCATGAGCCAAGTAAACCAAATATTAATGCCACTTGTGGAGTCAAAGAATGATTAGAATATTAACTGGTCAGAACATTTATCACTTGTTAAACATTACCCCAAAGTAATTGCACAAATTTAGATAATCGTCAAAAGAACACGCACCTCGATGAATACTTGATAAGACCGAAGCCTTTCTTGATTCCAACAAGAAGAGCCTAATTCAAAAGTAACAATAAAAAGCTTAACGTTACCGGTATGCGCTGCCTCTCATTGCCTGCATGCTCCACCGGGATTTGCATCGCAGAATTATCTGAGGCGAGCAGACAGATCAGGTCGCATCAAATGCGCGGAAGGAAGGAGTTAGGAATGCGAGCGCGCTAGTGTGGTGATCTAAGGTTGCAGCAGTGATTGGAAAGGTATTCTATTGACCCTGTATTAAAAGTCATGCAAAATATACCTTGAAGACAAAGATGCCCATTTAGCTAGTTTTGGCTATCGTTATAGGTACAATATGATAAACAAGAAAATTTCCTTAATATTACAAAGTATACTGCCAACGCCAAAAGATATTTTGTAATAAACAGCTTAATAAAGTAGGATTTCAAAACACTGTGCCAATGAGTATCGAGGATGATAATAATTGTGACAAATCTGTGGCCTTACCCGGGAAACCCAAAAAAGACATCAAAATTTTAAGCTCCCGCCATCCGCGGAAACGACAGAGCCATCCGATCGATGTCAAATTCAAGTTACCAGCAAGTGAGTAAAATAAAGGAGCTCGTTCCGGAAAGCGCTAAAAATGAATGAAACGTTTAGCAAACGTTATTGAAAAATGCAGTGTCAGTTGCCAACATACAACATTATAAACAGTTAGGTAATTCACTTTTCAGACCACATCAAATTACATATCTTACAACGAAATGGTAAACAGTAAATTAAAGAAGATTTTACGTCAGCTCATTATATTGCCACAAAAAAATTAGAATACTACGAAACTTGAAATGATGAAACAGTAAAAGCCCATGACCATCAACAGATATAAAAATTTTCTTAATAAATTGAGCTATCAAGGACAAAATAACCAAGGTAAACGATTATTTTCGATGAGTAATCTTCTGTCCAGTACAAAGATATGCGTGAAATAACAAGAGGCGTAATCGTGGATTAACGATCCGTGATAGAAATTCCATTAGAGTTCATATACATACCTAAAAATTGTGCACGTAATTCTCAGGTCTATTAGGAAAATTAGAATGGGACTTATGCTGGTTCATGACTTTGATAGGGCCAAACGCCTTTGCCGTACACCTCGGCCAAATCTTCGCACCCCCAAACGCGTAGACAACCAACATCCCTATGAGTGACAGTTTGAAAGCCTGTTTGACCAAACAAAGCACTGATAGCCAAATGAAATGAAAACCTGGAGCGCTTTAATGGTTCTCTAGTGAACACCTGCTACCAGTATCGCAAGTGCAATACCCAAACTCACGTTCCCCTGACACGCAAGCACCTTGACACGGTGAAGGAGTTACGACGCAATGATAAGGTCATTCTGAGCAAATCAGTCAATGGGGCCGGATTCGTTCTGTTAGACAAAAAAGACTGTATAAATAAGCTCAAAGAAGTTCTGCGTGAAGAATCGTAATTTTCCCGAATAATTGGAGACAATGACCAAACAGATAGGACTAAAAACCAGGTTATTATAAGCTTACAAGATCTTCGGAATCGTGAACATAAACCAGCTACACTATATGATAGCCGTAAGCCGTGTGGCACGAAGTACCCGAGGCTTAATGTGTTACCGAAAATTCATAAGACAGGTGTTCCGCTTCGCCCGACCTTATCAATGCTTAACTCACCCTACCATGCCATCGTCCAATGGCTTGTGGAAATTCTAGAGCCAGTAAGACAGCAACTTACACACTACAGACTTCGTGACATCTTTCATTGCATCGAAAGTATCAAAGACCGCAACGCCGGTAAGAAAGTAATGTTTTCCTTGGGTGTTGTATCGCCTTTCACCAGCGTGCCACTTTCCGAGAAATTCGATTACCTTTGCTGTCACATAGAAGAAACGAAAACAAGTATATGCATAGCGTTGCGTGAGTTGAAAAGCCTCCTTTTACATTGAACTTGGATGTACGGTTCCCATCAATGACACTTACTACGGACAAAAGGATGGCGTAACTATGGGGTCGTCAATGTGCCCGTTGTTAGCTGATGTCCTAATGGCGAAATTAGAGAATACCAAGTTACATGCGGAGACCACGGCCTTTGAATGTTACCTCCGCTATATGGACCACATATTTGTCGTGGCCGACTGGTCTGTTGACCTTGACGCTGTTATTGACCGTTTTAATCGGGCACACGCATCATTGCTGTTTATCTACGAAAAGAAATTGAAAGAGCAGTTGCCCTTTCTTGGTGTGCTGTTAACTAGAAGAGCAGGAGGCTAGGTTCAACGGCAGATCTACAGGAAGCAAACCTGGAGTGGTCAGTATACGAACTTTCACAGGTTCGTTCCGTTGAGATATAAGCGAAACGTACTTCGCTGTCTAACCACAAGGGCCCGCAAGATCTGTTCTGATGTCGAGTTGGGTAATGAGTTGACGTTCATTCAGAATTTGCAGCGTGAATACAGATATCCTAATGGTTTAATTTTGAATAACATGTAAATTGAGCCCATCCTGTTGCAGGTTCAGACAATGGAGCATAATAGCTTTCCATACAACTACCATTCAAGGGAGACTCCGCTGTTAAGCGTGTTACTGGAAGCATTTAAACAACTGTCGAGTCAGCTTTCCCAGCAGCCAAGCTTAGTTGCACAACTTCAGCGGAGTCACTCACCCGTATGCCCAACAAAACAAGTTACCGAAGCTGACCGCTTCTATGGTAATTTATCAGTTCGAAGGCGCCCGTGGCGCTACTTACAAAGGTCGAACGGCGCGGCAAATGTCGAAGCGCATTAAGGAACACCTACCACGCTGGTTGCGTCGAGGCGGTACGGGGGCTATAACTAGCCATGTTAGCGCTCAGCTTGTTGCTAGTGGGCATGAGGTTGACCCAAGCAGTGCCTTTCGGATACTATACAGAGTCCCTGCACTCCAATCGAAAGGCCTGCGCCTCCGCAGCCTTGCTACGACCGAGGCGATCAGCATCCGGTTGTAACCACCGCTTTTGTGTGCGCAAAAGAAGCTGATCGATGCTGTTAACCTACCTTGGCCAACCAAAACGGATCCTTCTGAGAGCAACTGTAATTGTGCAACTGCAACTCTGTCACTGTTTGTGGTTGCTTCCTCTTCATGCATTTGGTCGGCACGTGCTCAGTCTCATTCGAGCGTCTGCCGGCTCAAGCTTCCTAGTTATGATCCATTTGCACATTAGCGTGATTTAATTATCTGCGCGTCGCTGCGTGTTATCATCTTACGCTGTGAAAAATTAAAGGCCGTATTGTATGCTTGCCCTCCATCTCTTCACTGTCCTTTCTTCATGAAGCCTCTCCTAGCACTCTTCCATGGAGCAAACGTAACGCATGTGGCCTGCTCACAGTTGCTCCTTACCCTCTCCTTTCTAACAGTTCATTTATGTTTTGCTCAGTGCGACGTCCCTGATACCTGCCCATTCAGGACTGTAGGTTTCTGTCTGGCATATTTCGGATCCGTCTATATTAGCACTAATATCTTAACACCACAACAGGGCTCAGTATCTGCGCGCCTCTGACTCATATGCTGCGATGTCTTCAGTAAACTTAATGTATGCATGCATTCCGCCTGTTTAATGTCCTACGCTCATGTAACCATTTTAGCTTTCGCCTAGCCCTCCTTCCTAACCCATCAAGTCACCGCACAGCCGCTCCTTAGCCTCTCTATCCTAGACGTTCTCCTATCTCTTACTCGTTGTGGCGTCTTCAACTTTTTCACCTGCAAGCGTCCAGCTCTCGGACGAACTTTCCACGGCTCTATCAGAAGTAGTATTAGCCCAGCACCCTAGCAAGAATAGTGCACCTACGCGCCGCAGTGTTTCAGCCTTATTTGATACGACTCCCACGGTACACTTAATGTATGCTTGCATTCTTCCTGTCTGCTATCTTTTCTTCATGCAATCATTTTATCTCTCTGCTGGCGACCTTCCTTATCTCATCCGGTCAGCCCAAAGCTGCTCCTTGCTAGATGCGCAGTTGTCGCTTACTCGTCTGTGACACCCACTTAATTGTACTTCAGCTCTCTCACGGGCTTCTCCTGGCTCAGACTTACTTAGTTATATTCCATTGGCACCATAGCGTGATGTGATCATCGGCACGTCTACGCGTCTTATCCTTTAATACTCTGAACTATTTAACAACCTCATTGTTTGCATGCGCTTCTCCCGTACGTTGTCCTTCCATCACTAATACTCTCTTAGCTTTCTGCCTTCGTGCAAGCATATCCATGTGTTAAGCGCAAGCCGCCATTTGGCCTCGCATTTCTAGATGTTCATTTATCCCTTGCTCGCTGTAATATCTGAGACTTTTTACTTGAAATATTCCAGTTCTTTGGCTTGCATTCCCCGGCTCTTTTCCGCTTGGTACTATTAGCTTAACACCCTAGCTGCTGCGGTTAAGCCTCATGTTCTTATATCCTTAGCAACATTAATGTACGCTTGCAACCCTGCTATTCGGTGCTTTACAGTCAATTAACCTTTCTTAGTTTTTTACTTCAGCACGCCTCTCATCTTGTCAGCACATGGACGCCCGTTAGCTTCTCATTTCTAGGTGTTCAGTTATCGCTTACTCGCTGCTATGTTTGCGACACTTACGCATGTGTGAGTAAAAAAGTCTCACTAGCTTTTCCTGGATCAGCAAACCCTAGTACCATTTTCTTAGCACCCTAGAATGACTCGTTTCTCGGCGCGACGCTGCGTCCACACTTGTTCCGCAGGTTCACTTTCATTTAACTGGTATTTATTACTTCACTTGTATTGAGCAATCTTTTCTCACCTAGTCAGTATATCCGCTCCTTAACCATTCAGTTGTAGGTGTTCTGTTTCCGTTTTTCAGTAAAGCTTTAGCCACTTACTTATGTAGGTGGTAAGCTCTCTTACAGACTTTTCCCATCTCGGTCGGCCATAGCATTATTCTCTTAGTACCCTCGTGTCGTCTTTCTCTCTTGATCCCTGAATATTTTTACTCAACGCCTGAGTCCTATCCGCTAATTTACCACCAATTGACCATTGTATCTTTTTCGTCGCAGGCCATTAATCTCTTCACTTAATTATTCTGCGCTCTCTATCGATTCCGACTGGCTACCAGCTGTTCATCCAC